CTATACAAATGTAATTTGTTGTTGTTATTTGCCTGTATGGTTGCCACACAGTACTCTCAATGGCAGATTACAAAGTATTAGTTGGTCGAGCTTCAGTCATGCTTCAATGGCTGGAGTCCAATGTTTGCTCCACAAAATACAGTCAATTCACTTTACAGTGTATTCTCAATGACGCAATAAGGGATATATCAAATGCAAGGATTATTATTATTGTTTGTAAGTACCAGTTTATTATGAATAATGCACATTCTTGGGTTTCCATGCTTTGGCTCCCGTCAACCTGTGTTAGCGAGATCCTGTGCATCAATAAGCGCCATTGAATCCCAGCATGTAAGGCGAATATTTTGGTGTGATTATTCTTGATGCCCATTATACTCTCCTGAATTAGGTAAGCAGAATGTGCGCATTTCTCCAGGGAGAGAGTATTCATTGCTTTCGGGACACAGGGGCATTTCCACGTGAAGGTGATATACACAGGTGGAACAATCAGTTTGGATTGGACATTCTTAAGCATGGTGATGGGTTTCCAAATTAGATACCTGGCTGACCAAAACAAAATTGATAGTAAAATTATTGCTTATAATCTATTGTGACTGCAATTTAGTGAGGCAGTCCCTCTGGCATTAAACACGATATCGGTTTTATTTTTTTCTCTCTCATTGTTTTCTCCTGTTCCATTATATTTCTCAACAAAACTTGAAAACCCTCCAAAATTCAAGTTTGTGCATAATAAAATACATTTGCGTCTTTTGCTTTAATTTAGTATTCTCCAGAATCTCGAAACCATGGGGCCTCTACCTTTCTCACACTCACATTTGTTTTCAAATTTCTTAATTCCCTGGCACCTCCTTACCTCTCCGACCTGCTTACCTGCAACCCACAACCCGCTGCCTCTGCTCGATTGGCTCCGGCCTTCTGCATGTCCCTGTGCCCTCCGTTCCACCATTGGTGGTGGGGGGGAAGATGACCGAAAGCCTGTGAAATAATATCTAAATACGAGGAAAGAAGGGAGTCTAATGGCTTCAGGTTGGGAGGAGGAGAGAACATCGGCACCAAATTTTTGAAGTTAAATGCAAACTTGGTGTCACCTTATGATCACTTAATGTTACATCTCTTGCCCTCTCCTAATTACGTCAACCGTGATGGTTTCTCTGAACTGTGAACGTTGGCCTTGGATTTCTCAATGGAAAATAAATGAAATAAGTTGCGATTCAAAGTTCTCAGGGATCTTGACTCAAGAGCTTGGGATAAAAGTAGGTAGTAATCTATTAGGTAATCAGTTACTCACTGACAATACTTGACGGATAATGCAATGTGAAGACAGGTGCTGTTCAAGCAGAGCCAGCCCATTTCTATTTCATCGCATGCAAAAGAAATGTTGGGGGAAACCTCCTATGATGGATGAGTTGGAGCAGATGTTCCTACCAAGAAACAATTGGGGACGCGTAATTTTCTGCTGTGCAGCAGCGTGGAAGAAGGTTGATTCTGGGGGGGGAAGACATTGATCGAAAATACATGAGTCACCTTGTGCTATGCCAGATGGAAATCACTTGATTAGCTAACACAGACAGTTGTGCTGACCTCAGCTGAATTGCCATGCCGTCCTTTAAATGCTCTGTATGGAGTTTAGCATCGTCTTTGGAAAGGCACTTCAAAACGCTGCTTTGAAGGAGGCAAAGCATTTCTATCCACCGGACTGAACGCTGCATTAATTTTTATTTTCGATTTCATACTTTTATTGTATTGCGCCAAAGGTGCCTGCTAACTACACAGAAAACACTAACAGTGTGAAATGGTTCAACCCTGAATTTGCTGAAAGGCTCATTTGAATAATTATTGTTAAATTGTCCTTTGAACTCGGGTGATTTGAAGAAGTTGTGTCAAGCGGCTGACCAGGCTTTGATCAGGAAAGGCCTGACAGTGTTGCAGTTAGCACAGCACTGCATCTCTCCCTCTCTCAGCTTGGTGGAGCTCTACACCTTGGCTGTGTTTACTCTGTCCAGCTGTACTTAGCTTCTGAACTGAAAAAAACAACACTGTTTTGCTTGAAGGGAGGTTCATTGCCAACATTTTTGATCCAAGTTCAAGTCTGGGTCTCTAGTGTACAATGCAACAACTGTAACCCTTGAACATAATGGTAACATGGTAATCCAGATTCATTTTTAAACATAATGTATTATTATTTATATCATAAGGAGTAAATGTATTCTATATTTTGAAATGGCGTCCTGTAGCTCAGTGGTTAGAGCACTCACCTTGCAAGCGAAACACCTGGGTTCAATTCCAGGCAGGGTGAAACCTTGGGCAAGTTTCCTTATTCCACACGACTAATAATAATCCCTCCAAAACAAAACCATATTAAATTGGTCATTTTCAATCCGCGACTGTTTGTGGGACACTGCTTGCGCAATTGGTTGCCGTGTTTCACCCACAAATATACAGTCAATTCACTTTACAGCATATTCTGTGAAGCGCTTTGAGATGTCTAGAAGACGTGAAAAACACTATATTAAATGCAAGGATTATTATTATTATTAAATGCTTACTGCAAGTCTCCCATTTCCAGAATAGATATTGAAAGAGCACAATTATAAATTCGCCTGATGTGGAAAATATATTTAATGCTAATTGCATGCAACTGTGATGCTTTCAAACTTTTCCACTGACTAGAATTACATTCAGTTTATGCCACACTCCACAGTGTTTCCTAGCAACAGTATAAAAATCGCCAAAGCTGTTGAATACCGGCACGGAATTGGACAAATCAGGCGAAAAGTGGCAAATATAGAAATACATTTATTCCACTGGACCACTGGTTCTTTCAAGAACTACAGGAAACCTGATTCGAAATTAAGACACCATTTAAAAATGGCCCAAACTTTGCATGCTCTGAAATGCAAGAATAATTTGCAACTATGGACTCAAGGGGAATTTCCCCCCATTGAACTTTGCTGGGTCTTTACATATAAGGATAAATTATTATTTATCAAGTTATTTTCCATTTATTTATCCCCAGTACTTTACATAGATTTACATAGGTTTTACAGCATAGAAACAGGCCATTCAGCCCAACCAGTCTGTGCCAGTATTTATTCTGTACATGAGTCTCCATCCACTCCTTACTCCCTCGCAAACCCTTCTATTCCCTTCTCCTTCATGTGAAGGTCTCGTTTCTTCTTAAATCCATCCATATTATCTGGTTCAACCACTGCTTCGGAAAGCGAGTTCTACATTCTCACTGCCTCTGCATAAAGAAGTTCCTCCAAGATTCTCTTTTAGATTCACTAGTTGCTATCTTAACTTGTTTTTTAAATGGTTTGTTTGAAAAAGAGATTTCTCGGGAGTCCAGTCGGGCAATATTGAGCCAATATTTAAATATTTACTTATCTAAGAAAGGACATAATCGCCTTAGAGGGGGTGCAATGTAGGTTTACTAGGTTGGTTCCTGGGATGAGGGGGTTGACCTATGAGGAGAGGTTGAGTGCACTAGGCTTACATTCTCCAGAATATAGAAGAATTAGAGGTGATTTTATAGAAACCTATAAAATTCTTACGGATCTTGACAGGGTAGATGCCGTGAGACTGTTTCTCCTGGTTGGAGAATCTAAAACTAGGCCTCATAGTCTCAGGATTAAAGGTCAGCCCTTTAGAACTGAATTGAGAAAACATTTCTTCACTCAGACAGAAGGTAGTGAATTTATGGAATTCTCTACCCCAGAAGGCTGTGGATGCTCAGTCATTGAACATATTTAAGACTGAGATCGATAGATTTTTAAAAACTAAAGGGATTGAGGGGTATGGGAATAGGGCGGGTAAATGGAATTAGGTTAGGAGATCAGCCATGATCTTATTAAATGGCGGGGCAGGCTTGAGGGGCTGAATGGCCTACTCCTGCTCCTATTTCTTATGTTCTTATGTTCTTAATATTGAGATATGATTGGCTTTCAGAGGTTTGCTGAAATTGTATGGTTCTTTCTCATTGACACAAAATGACAGTTAGATTTGGACAACTCTTCCCTCTGGGTAAAAATAGAACTAGATCAGCTTAAACTGTTGTCAGGAAGCATTTTCTTCACATAGAGGGTTGTAAAGATTTGGAAAGCTTTACCCCTGAGAGGCAGATTCAATAGGGGTGTTTAATAGAGAAATAGACAGAAACTTGGGTTGCAGAGGTATTAAGGGGTTTGGTGAATGGGCTAGGCATTGGAATTAAAAGATCTGACAAGATCTAATAAACTGGTGGAATGAGCTTGGTTAACTCAAAGCTCCTCTTCTGTTCCTGCTCCCTCTGTTCTACCCACTAGGATTTTAGATTACAGAGCTCAGATCATGGCTGGAACTCCAGCCTTCATTGCTGAACCCCAAAGACTGGTTAACCATTCAAAATGCCTTGAATAACCTTTCTATCAGCCATGTCTCCTCACTGTGCTGTTCATTCCTCTTCCACTATCTTCAAAGGAGGATAATTTTAGATTAAACATTTTGTTATTCCCAAACCCTCAAAAGTGTGACCCACACCGGGATTCGAACCTAAAAGCTTTAATTCCAAATACAATGCTCAATTGACAACATGACCCTTTGATATTAAATTGATCTGATCAGCTATATGTGCGTTGATAGTCTTAATATAAACAGAAAATGGAAAGTGGTGAAACAAAATAGTTTACCCCGTGCACTCTAATTCAATGGGAGAAGGATCTGTCAGTCATCTCGTATCAGTATAAATAATAAAAATCCTTGCATTTGAGATAGCACCTTATCATTTCATTGAGACGTCTCAAAGAACTTCACAGAATACATTGTAAAGTGGATTGACTGTGTATTTTGTGGACGAAATGCAAATGTGCGTGGCAGCGTAAAGCATGACTTTGATAAGATTAGGGGATAAATTTACAAAACAAAATATAATGCATAAAAAGAACTAATCACTTTCTGTCTTTTGGATCAGAGTCTTTGTGTGATTGTATTGACTGTTCTTTTTATGTTGCTTGTGTCCACAGGGTAACTGGCTTTCAACTCCCATCACCAATTGTCAGCACAGGCTCAATCCTGACCCTCTGGTTCACCACGGATTTTGCTGTCAGTGCTCAGGGATTCAAGGCTGCTTATGAAGGTAAAATACATGATTTCTGCTGCTCGATTGTGAAGGATTATGTGGTGGGTTGCCACTGCATTTACTTGTGAGGAGAATGGACACTTGGCTAAAGCAGATTTCTGGCAAGTGGAAAAGGTGGTGTCAATGTATTACAGCAACATTTATTTCCATGTGTCACGTTCATTATTAAATTAATGAGGGATTTTAATAGTTTGGTCAAAGAACTGAGTCAGTTGTACCCCTGATTCAGGAAGTAATCTTGGGAAATGAAATATTGCAGTCTTCCCTTCTCCATTACAAGCCTAGATTGCTAGTTTAACTGCGGAGTTCTAAAACTCCTTGATCTTTGCTTCTTGATTGTAGATGAAAAGCGCCTGCTTGAAAGAAAACCATAGGAAATGCTATGGAGTAAGAGCGGGGGAGTGGGACTAGTTGGATAGCTCTTTAAAAGAGTCAGCACAGGCATGATGGGCAGAATGACCTCCTTCTGCGCTGTAAGATTCTATGATTCTATCAGGCAAAGCGTGTTCCACTCCGATGAAATTAGAAATAATGTGATCCGTATCTGTCTTGGCAAACTACAAAATGGGCTGCCACACAAATCCCTGAAGTATATTAGCAATCCAGGGACACGTTCCAGATTTGCTGTAAATTCTACTTAAATGGCAAGACTTCAGGAGGTTCCAAAGCCACTGTAAGATCCGACTCCTGCAGCTCAGGAAGAGGTAATCATTGTGAGATAAGGTCGCTCAGTGGGAATTGAAATCCCATCTGAATCCAAGTTATAGGCAGCAAATGAATTAATGAATTGAGTTAGTCTTCAAAGACAGATCACAGCTGGCTGGAAAGTAATTCCAACAAAAGGTAAGGAGCTGAATTAAAGAGAAAGCCTTGTCCCTGCTGTCGAATCTAGAGAGATGCTCAGTGTAGTTATTCTGCCTGTGTTGTTGACTCTTGCTGAAATTCTCTCCTGTAGCTTTGCATGAAAACTCTTATGCCATGATCCACATTACAACTGGTTACAGATCCTGAGAAGAATAGATTGGTTGGTACACTGATGCTACTGCGATCTTATTGAGCTGTGTTGGCATCAGGTTGCAGGCTGGTCATTACACAGCAGTCACACAACAGGAAATCCCATCACTTTGAGGTGGTCTATGTTCTGGGGAACACAAAACAGATTTGGGGTGGGGGGGGGTGGCATTGGGGTCATTATACTTAACTTTAGGAGTCACAGGGGTAAAACGTACTGAACCACTACCTATGCTCCAGTCCAAAAAGAACATGTGAACTAATGTCTTCTGAAAAGGATCATGTTCAATGTAGCTTCTTGTCAGATGATAGAGCTGTTGTGTTCAACAGACAATATTAGTCCTTACCCAAGATGACACGGCAAAAATATGTAAGCAGATAGAGAAATTGAAAGGTATCAATTAAGTTGATTCCTTGACTGTGGATACACTTTGATGGGACCATCGTGGGGTGTGCTCATGAGGCAAATTAACTTTTAACCATTACAACCCTTTAAAGAGATCAGGATTGTGAGAATTTAAGTGCTCCTGGGACACTACCCTGCATGAGGGATGCTATATAAATCTGAGTTGTTGTTGTTGATCATTTAGGCATTTGAACTGGAGTTTTAGTCTAAAAAAAGAAATGGGGGAAATCACCAATAAAATAATAGACAAACGTTAATCTGTTATGTGGAGATAAACCCTGTTTCAGTGACATTTTCAATGGAAGTCTTTTTGCTTGAACTCATTGGAAAGAGTCCACAGTTTAGCCACTGTGTGAAAATGAATGACTCTGAGGTTCCCATTGGAGCTATTCAATAGCAGGTATCTTAAAATTGTGCCTGATGTTGAAACCGAGCGTTGGCTGTGGCATACATAAGTGGTGATCATTTCACACGTGAACCTTGATAGCTATTGCTGGTGCTCCTTTTATATCAGTATGAAAGCTGCTTATTCTGGAAAGGAAGCTGAGCAGAAGAAAGCATTGGTTGAATGATCGGCCTCACATTTCTGGTCCTGAAGTGCAGATCCATTATGCATTTGCTCGTGAAATCGACTCTCTCAAAAGCCGTATAAATTTGACAAAAAAATCACGCTGACCCCGATGCCATGCATTTCATCTGTCATCTGGATAGTTGTGTGCAGTGAGCAAGAGCTCAGAGTGAGTTTGGCTACTGAAAGACTGATTTACAAATGGAGGTTATCCTTCTCTTTGGGCCCCCTATGGCAAATCTGTTGATGTGAGACGGTTGCTGTTCTTAAGAACAAAAGACTTGCAAGATGAAAGAAGACCGAGGTCCATCCAGTTCGGCTTCCACCATCCTGGCAGTCGCATTCACATTTCATGTGACAAACCACATACTGTATCCCGAGATATTATTTCCCAACAGCAATCTATCTAATTTCTTCTTGAAAGACTCAACACTTTTTGCTACTCTGTGTTTGTTTGCTTTTTTTTAAATAATTGTCAGCAGGAAATGGAATCCATACCTTACGTAATCTACTTCCAGTTTCCAGAGTTCCCAACAATCTGCCTGATCCCTTCCAGTAGCTGGGCAATTGAGGCTATTTCTGCTACCAGTCACTGTGCGTCAGATCCCAATGAATAACCAATTGTTTTAAGAGTGAAAAGAAAGATGTAATTCTTGCCTTTAGTTCTTCTGTCAAAGATTGACCTTGTCAGTTTTCAGAGTGATAAGTCTATGTCCATTATCAGACCAGTCTCCATGTTCACGCGTCACGAGAAGTCTATTTTTAAATTTGATTTTTTGCTGTGTCTGTGGGTGCACACATAAATGCATGCTTATGTGTATTTGTGTGTGTCTCTGTCTTGCATGCGTGTGTGTAATTATGCACATGTGTCTGTGTATGTGTGCATATGTGTTTTTGTGAATGAGTACGTATCACTTTAGTGTGTGCATATATCTCTGTGTACGTGTCTTTATTTCTGAGACTATGGATCTTTGTGTATACATTCGTGTGCACATATATGTGTTTTAATGTTGAGGGCTTAGCTGTGAAATTCAGTATATTTTCTTCAGCAGAAATTAAACATCAAGCCATGAAGCCAGCTCATCCCTTACCCCTATCCTATCACCTGTTGGGATCTGAACTGACACAATAATAATAATCCTTGTATTTGATATAGTGCCTTATCTAGTCGTTGAGACGTCTAAAAGCGCTTCACAGAATATATTGTAAAGCGAATTGACTGTGTATTTTGAGGGTGAAATGCTGCAGCCAATTGCACACAGTAGTGTCCCACAAACAGCCATGGAGTGAGTGACCAAATTCACAAGGTGACAGCTGTAGAGGTACATTGAGTCAGATCACATGTGGCCAACTACACAGGTTTAACAGTGGTTGCATCTGTTGGTTACTGAGACTGTTTTGCTCTTCGGGCTCTGAATGTTCTTTGCGTCACTTTGAATCCAGCAGCAATAAAAATAATCAAAGTGTCAAAGCTGGAAAGGAAAGATCAAAATGCCTCAGTTATGACTCCAAAGACTTTTGGGCAGCCATTATTTTCCTGCTATGGTTTACATGAGAGATAGACTGCCATATTTGCAGGGATTACAGAATTACCTTGATCATTGTTGACCTCAACGACCAGTGTTTCGTACAATAAAGGATTAGTGTTTGTCATACTGATTAGGATGAGTGCTCATGTAATGGGGATCCACTCAGCCTGCAGCACATCTCCATGACAAAACAGGGCTTGACCTTTCCTGTTAACCATGAACTGAGTTGGATAAGCAGAAAAAGTTTATTGAGACAGAAAAAAATATATAATCACTTAGAATAGGCCAGGCCCCACGTACTACATTGCAGTATGGTATGGCAGACTGGGAGTGAGCTCAGCAATACATAATTGCAAGGTTCAGCTGACTTCATTCTGTAAGTAGATAAATACCTTCAATCGAGTGATTGTTACTGTTTGGTGCATTGTACATCCTGAGTTACTTTGTTAGCTGAGCTGCACTGATGCCTGAGGATTATAATGATCCATTTTCCCCGGTGGTGGACTGATGGCACAATAACGTCAACCAGAAGCACCAAAAGGGTTTGGATGTGAAGACATGTCACCGTTGGACAGGATTCCTCCAATTCACTTTCTATTTCCCGACCAGCCAAAACTTAACATATGAGGTGGTTTGAATACCTCAAAGCTTTATCTGGTTAATTTCAAAGGCACCTTATGGAACAACAACAACAACACCAACAACCAAATTACATTTGTATAGAGCCTTTCATGTCGGGAGCATGTTCCAAGGTGCTGGACGATCAATGCTTCGGACCTGAGCTGGGGGTCAGGAAGGTGGAGGGCAAGGGTGGAAGGAGGGTGATCGTAGGCATGGTTAAAGAGTGGGATCTTGAGGTGGGTTCCAGAGGGTGGGGGCAGAGTGGCAGAAGCCCACCTGCCAATGAGAAGGGCAACGTGAAGCAAGTAGTGAGCGGAGGTAGTGGGAAGGTTGGTAGGGGATTAGGAGGTTGCAGAGGGAGGGGGGAGTAAGACCATGGAGGGCTTTGAAGGTGAGGACCAGGATCTTAAATTGTATCCTCAGTGTGATGGGAAGCCAGTGGAGTCAGGTGAGGATGGGGGAGATAGGGTTATGGAGCCTGGTGGGGGAGAGGTCATGGGCTGCAGAGTTCTGGTTGATCTACAGCCTCTGGAAGGAGGAATTGGGGAGGCCAACAATTAGGGAGTTTGTATCTTCAAACCTGGATCTTACGAATGCGTATATGAGGGTTTCGGTGACCTGTGGTGTGAGACAGTAGCAGAGCGGGGTGAGGTTACGGAGATGGGGGAAGGCAGAGCAGGTCATGGCACGGATGTGAGGTAGAAAGGATAGTTGAAGGTCAAACAAGATGCCAAGGATCCGGACTGGCTTAGTGACTGGCTTTCTGTTATTAATTCATTGTGGATGGCACAACACAGAGTTTGTTAATCGTGGGGATTAAGGGTGGAGGAGGTTGCTGCATATTAAGCAAAATTATTTGATA